TGTATTATTTTTCATAATTAATTTCGCAGGATTAATTTGCATATAAATTCCTAGTATACAAAGGTTTTCTAAAAGAAGTATTTAAAATAAAAGATTCTTTGAGGGACAGAAAAGCTTTCTCAGATGAAAGGTTTCTTTCGTATTATAAAATTTAAATATTTAACAATTCCTTAGCAAGAGCTTTGAAATTCCTTAGTTTTTCCACATCTGTAACTTTGAAAATAAACTACTGTACACAAAAACTAAAAAATTGTACAATTGACAAGAAATCCCAAAGCACTGCTTGGGTTCTGTTTGGGTCTCATAATCCGATGTTAAATAGCCTGATTTCTTCGGTTGAACTTCGGAAATTATATTGCGCAATTTTTTCAACGTCGGAATACGATTGAGGCTCGAATCTGAATCGATGATGTTCCGATGATGTTCCGAGTGTGATTGCGCGGTCACATAGTGCCGACGTGGCGAGCCGAGAAGAAAGGCACATTCAAAAGAGATTTTGTGTTCACATTGTCTCTGCTGGTTGTCTCGCGTTTTTCTCCTAAAATGAATATATTCCGACTTGCTGGAGACTTGTCCCATCTTCTAGCAATACTATTGCTGCTGTGGAAAATATGGAAGACTCGCTCTTGCGCTGGTAAGCTCTTATATTCTTACATTTTGTTTTATTATATTGTCGAATGTGTACTGTTCTTATTGGTCTATAAAACACGAAGGTCAATATATGACTGTTTGATCTCTCGTATAGCTAAACGATAGCCTCAACTATGATTCCACTTTATCGATCTTTCTAATTTATATCATATTATGTTGTATTTCCTTGTATAATTTTGAAAACAAATTGTTATAACATACACAGATTCTATATATTGTAAATTGTATTAGCTACATTGCAATTTGCAGTTGATCTTTTACGATAAATTTGGCTGTGATATTCTTAGTAATATTTGAGATTGCAGAGTGTTGGTTTATTTATGGTTAGAATTCAGATTTTCGTAAATTTTGGAGATGAAGTTTTGTTATTTTACTGGCATATTATGACACGTGGAATTTTGCCCGTCAGCGTTAAATTACCCTGGAAACGAGTCACTAAATAGAGGGGTATTGTTTCAAGGCCTCAAATCTCAGTTGTAGATTATTGCCTGCAGTTTTGCCCTGGGTTTTTTGTGAGCCTGCCATGGAAAATCATGCAAAATCATGCAAAATCAATCTTACAATGCATAATCAATCATGTATAAATTGGACATGCAAGTTCTGTATAACTTCACTTTAGGATAGCCCACATAAATTTAAGAACATGTACATTGCATGCATAAGATTAAGCCTGCTACTGTATGTTGAGGTGTTGCTTAGGGTTCAGGGGTGGAAAAAATTGGCAAGCATGCGAGCAGCTGCAGGAAATTTGTTTGAATGAAGATTTGCTATTGAAAATTTGAAAGAAACCTTAACACCCATGGGTACAACAAAATATGGTTGACAGACATTATTCCTTGAATTTAAAACCATGGTCAGCTAGAATACTATATGTTTAGCACATGCAGATTTAGCACAAAAATGCTCCATTGGTCTGCATAAAATTTTTGTCTCCAGGTTGTGCTCCCAGGAAGAAATACTTTTTCCTGGCTCTGAGATGGCTGATCAGTCGATATGCTTGAGTTGTGCTTGTGATAAGGGATGATGAGCCTGTCCTGACTTTACTAATTTCAATCCTTGTAACATTTTCCAGGTATTTCCGGCAAGAGTCAAGTTCTTTTTGCACTGGTATTCACCACACGATACCTTGATCTTTTTATGTCGTATATATCACTTTATAATTCTGTTATGAAATGTATATTCATTGCGTGCTCATATGCAACTGTCTATCTGATCTTTGTGAAATTTAAAGCAACGTACGATTCAAATCACGACACATTCCGAATGGAGTTCATTGTTGTCCCCGTTGCTGGTCTTGCTGTTCTTGTTAACCATAGTTTGACGCTTGTTGAGGTAATAAGAGACAAAACTAAATTTATTTATACTGGATTGATCTGTCAGTTATATCTGGTAGTATTTTTACTCCTCCAGTGACTGAGGTGAAATTATAATCAAACAACTGCATGAAACAAGGACACATAACAATTGGGTTGAACACAAGTATTTTACAGGGACCTGTTGCTAAATTTATTAATTAAATTAACTAATATTCCCAAACTTCCCAAAGGTTTTGTGGACGTTTTCCATCTACCTTGAGTCGCTGGCCATTCTACCGCAGCTGTTCATGATCTCAAAGACAGGAGAGGCAGAGACAATTACAAGTCATTATCTGTTCGCCCTTGGTTCTTACCGAGCTCTGTACTTAGCCAATTGGATTCTGCGCTATGCTTCCGAAGGGTTCTATGACCTTATTGCTGTCGTCGCAGGATGTGTGCAGACTGTTCTCTACTGTGATTTCTTCTATCTGTATATTACTAAAGGTAGGTTAGGAATTGGTTGGTGATAATGATGATGTTGATGATAATGGTGATGGTGGTGGTTATCTTGATGATGATAATGATGGTTGTGATGATAGTTGTGATGGTAGTTAGTGGTGATGATGATGGTGATGATGATGATGATGGTGGTGATGATGGTGGTGGTGGTGATAATGATGATGATGGTGGTGGTGGTGATAATGATGATGATGGTGGTGATAATGATGATGATGGTGGTGATAATGATGATGATGGTGGTGATAATGATGATGGTGATGATGGTGGTGGTGATGGTGGTGATAATGATGATGATGGTGGTGATAATGATGATGGTGATGATGATGATGGTGGTGATGATGATGGTGATGGTGGTGATAATGATGATGATGGTAGTGATGATGGTGGTGATGATGGTAATGATGATAGTAATGATGATGGTGGTGGTGATGATGGTGGTGATGATGATGGTAATGATGATGATGGTCATGATGATGATGATGATGACAATCTAGTAAAACCAGTTTTATTTCTTTTTTAGTTTTGAAAGGAAAGTCATTGAAACTACCAGCATAAGAAAGTGTCTGGCTGCTATAAAGACTTGAAAACAAACTATTACACTCTATGAATTGTACTGTATGTTAATAATGCTAACATAACAATCTAAAATGAATTTATTGCTCACAGTTTGGGCATTTGCATACATCCTCATTTCTTTGGTCTTTGTTAAAATAATTGTTAAAGTAAGTAACATTGATGTATGCAGGTGTGAAACAGTTTGCACATTTTACCTGCATAGCTGGGTCAGCGGCGCACATTCAACAAATTGCTTGGGGGACAATCTAGGAGCTACTTTCTTATTGTGCAACAGACATTTGTGGGTACACAATAGCACAAAAATATGGAAATGCATGGGTTGTAAGTTCTCAGGTTATGTTAATATTGAATTTTTACATATTGCCAACATACTTGTCAATCCAAATTTACTGATAGGATTTGAATAACTCTTATCGCAGAAAATTGGAACTGACTTTTGGCACACTCTTAAAGAAAACTGGGACTGATGTTTTGTGACCCCCCCCCCCCTCAAAATGTACACTTTTGAGCTGGGTTTCACTAAGAAATATCTTGGAGCAGATGGTGGCAACTGGCAGTTACCAACCAGAGTGAGAAAATAATATTAAATTTACTTCAAAATAACAAAGGGAAAAGACATTAATAAGTTAAATTCTTAAAATTGAAGTTGCCTGCCATCTGCTGCCCTTATTGCTTATTGAAACCAACCATGACGCTTGCTGACATACTGTAGTAAAGTTTTTTTATCTTTCAAGATATATAGTAAATAAAGAATTTAGAATCTGATTTCAGGATTACTTTAAAATAAAGAAATTTAAGAGATTTTGTATCACCATTAATACCATACGTGTTAAATAAGTTATAGCTACGAGATTTGTCGCCATAGTATTGCTGCATAATAGAGAGCTGTTTCAAATGTTGAGTTCTTATTAATACGGTTATTACAAATTTTTATTTCTGCATTGTGTGTTATGACTTTCTTAAAGTATTAATAATTCATGGTAATGTTACTAGTATTGATACCACAATAATAAACATCCATATGCTAGTGTGATATTACGTACTCTGAGTGTATATCCACACCTAGCCTACGGTGTAGACCCCAGCAGAAACACATTGTTTCTGCTGGGGCCTACACCGTAGGCTAATCCACACCAAGCAGGCTTGAAAAATATGCCTGGCCACGGTGGGATACACCAACACAGCAAATATCACAAACATCCATATATTAACCATTAATTAGTTTCATTGTGCCCTACTCAGGACTCAGGCAGAAATGAAATGAAATGAAATGAAGTAGCCTCCTACCACAGAATAAGGTACACAGAAGGTCGACTCGAGTAACGCTGCCACGCCATGATTCATCATCAAAATGCTGACGCCATGGTCCTAGCCAGTGCGGGTTTGAGAGGCATTCCCCCCCTGGACATCCGCCATTTTGAATAATATCAGGGGGGTGAATGCCTCTCAAACGCGCACTGGCTAGGACCATGGCGTCAGCATTTGATGACGAATTACGGGTTACGCTAAAATCATAGCAAAATCATAGGAAAAACAAAGAAGTCGGCCTTCTGTGTACCTTATTCTGTGCTCCTACGCAGGGGCTAGCCTGCGAATGGGTTTTGAAAAAAATGAAGTTATTGAACATATGTTATTGAAGTATACTATAATGAGGGCTTCATGAAGTCTGTACCCACGTTTCTTCCCGAGGATCGCAGGCTCGGGGAACGAGATTGCATCCAGTGAACTAAATACTGTTCTATAGTTCAGTGATTGCATCATGGCGGAAAAAATTTGCATTTTGCTGATTTTAACAAAACGATCTCTTCTGCGTCAAAAAAACCTATTTAAAAATGTAGTAGTTTGCGAAATTTTTTATTTCCACAATGTCTGACGACAGTGGCCTTTCTACGAGCTGTGTTGGAAGCGAAGCAGCGTTTTCTCCGCGTCAAAATGTTGTCAAAAGTTACGGAATTTCGATTGACTCGAGTAAAATTCACGAAGTCGCTTTCGAAGAGCAACCCGAGACCTTGCGAGCCTTAGGAGTGAATGTTTTTGACCAAGATGTGTTCGAGGAAGGGGTTTTACAGCAAGTTGATCAAGCTATTGCTGAACAGGAGGAATTTCTGGAGAGAGAGAGTTTGAGTAAGGAATTGAAGTCAATTGAAGACGAATTGAGGTTAGTAAGAGATTCAATGCATTAAAAATGTAAGCAGAACTTTAACTCGCTTTAAATGGCAAAGTTATGCATATATTTGTCAAGTAGTTTATCTCTCTCTCATTGCTTGTTATTATCGTCGCTACCCACACTGGCACCATGACCATTCGATAGTATATATTTATTGTGATATTAATTGTGTTGGTCATAGTGGTGGTGGTGGTAATGGTTGTGATGGTTGGTGGTAGCAACGGTGGTTATGATGGTGGTATGATTGATGGTGGTGGTGGCGTTGATGGTATGATTGGTGCTGGTGATGATGATATGATTGGTGGTGATGGACTGATGGTGGTCAGGCCTTAAAATATCTTTTCCAGGCCGTCTGACAAAATGTCCGGTGATGTTGAGTTTGGGTCGGACATATGTCCGATGACCTTCAGTTCATTTTTGACTCGGAAATAAGTCTGAATGATACATGTACAAATGAATAAACGGTAAATGTTGTAAAGATATTAAATAATTTGTTTCTTTCATACATACTTGCCAGAACAGCAGTATCAAAAAGACTTCGACAACTTAAGCCCGTTTTCCACTTCACCATTTCGCTCGCTGCTCCGCGCTTGACTACGTTAAAACAACATTTCCAGTTCACCTTTTATACAATAATACTCTGATTTTCCATTTAACATACACGCCTGCCTCTAGTCCTGGCCTCCTGGGCTAGGGTACATTTTGATTTACGTCGGACAAAGCTACAGTTCGGTCGGACACCAATACACTCGGGTCGGACAAACAATAAACCTCATTTTCACTTAGGTCGGACAGAATGTCCGGTGGTTTCTTTTCTACGTCGGACAATTTCACGAATGGGTCGGACAATGTCCGTGACCGACCGATATTTTAAGGCCTGATGGTGGTACAGTTGATGATGGTGGTGGTGCCGATGATGGTATGATTGGTGCTGGTGATGATGGTATGATTGGTGGTGATGGACTGATGATGGTACAGTTGATGATGGTGGTGGTGGCGATGATGGTATGATTGGTGCTGGCGATGATGGTTTGATTGGTGGTGATGGACTGATGGTGGTACAGTTGTTGGTGGTGACAGTAATGATGATTGGTGTGATGATGATAATTATGGTGTTGCTGCTGATGATGATAGTGGTGGTATATATACATAGTGGTGATAGTGTGATGGTGATTCTATATTTTCTAACTGTAGAAATGTCAAGCAAAAGCTCCAAAGACCTGGACTAAAACAACCTGCAAGAGAATTAACTGTAAGTAGAATACTTCATTCCTTTAAAGTTTAAAATGATTTCAGTATTTTATTAAAATCTTCAGTTCACTTTTTCTTTTCATTTTGAAGCTGAATGATCTTGAGAGACTAAGAGAACAGAAGGATCATATTCTGCAAAGATTACAGGAGCTTGATAAACAAAAAGGTTAGATGGTCATGCGATGGTTTTCACTGGACCTCTAGGAAGAACAGTATAGAACTGGTAGAGTTATCCAGTATAAACAAAGTTAGTTTAGTTTAGGTTTTCTCCTGTAGTAACACTGGGTCAATAAGAGATGATCCTTACTGGACCTCTAGGAAGAACAGTTTAGAACTGCAGGTAGAGCTATCCAGTATAAACAAAGTTAGTTTGGTTTAGGTTTCCTCCTGTAGTAACACTGGATCAATAAGAGATAATCCTTACTGGATCTCTAGGGAGAACAGTTTAGAACTGATAGAGCTATCCAGTGTAAATAAAGTTAGTTTAGTTTAGGTTTCCTCCTGTAGTAACACTGGATCAGTAAGAGATAATCCTTACTGGATCTCTAGGGAGAACAGTTTAGAACTGATAGAGCTATCCAGTATAAATAAAGTTAGTTTAGTTTAGGTTTCCTCGTGTAGTAACACTGGATCAATAAGAGATTATCCTTACTGGACCTCTAGGGAGAACAGTTTGGAACTAACATCTAGAGCTATCCACAGGCGGCCCAGACGTGTATTAGTGTATAGTAAATGTATCATTATAGAATATACTACACAGTAAAATTTGTTTGAATTTTATATTTTAATGAATGAATGAATTTTATATTTTAAAATCATATTTACTTGCCTACTTTGATTGTATGTGATCGTCTTTTATTTCTGAGCGACTTTACATTCGATGCCTGCGACTGTCTTCATAGGTGATAGTATTGAAAGCAAAGGCTAACGATTCCAGTTCTCAAACAGCCGACACGAACAATTCAAATCGAAAAATATCCCCTTCAAATTGCTTTGTTCCCGGGAAAAATTCGCCAGCGTATAGAATAAACACCCATCTTCAAACATACAATGCAATATTAACACGTTCTATAATTTTTGCAATGGATTTTTAGCGAAATGTTTTGAGACTAAAATTCTATGGAACTTAGAAAGCCCGATAATTACTACGGCACCTGCTTGGCCACCTAGCCTCCTTTACCGTTTGGATTTTCAGGGGGGGATCGAATAAAAAACACCTATTTCCGGCAACAGCCAGCCAATCAACACCGCGATACCGACTGTTTACAATATTTGAAATCTGATATTGTAATTTATCAACAACAAAACTCTTTCGATCGATCGATCGTATAGTATAAGATAGAAAGATAGCTTTTGCAAATTACAATATCAGATTTCAAATATAGTAAACCGTCGCTATCGCGGCATTGATTTGCTGGCTGTTGTTGCTGTATACGATCGAAAAGAGTTTTGTTGTTGATAAATTACAATATCAGATTTCAAATATTGTAAACAGTCGGTATTTTTTATTCGATCCCCCCCCCTGAAAATCCAAACGGTAAAGGAGGCTAGGTGGCCAAGCAGGCGCCGTAGTAATTATCGGGCTTTCTAAGTTCCATAGAATTTTAGTCTCGAAACATTTCGCTAAAAATCCATTGCAAAAGTTATAGGACGTGTTAATATTGCTTTGTATGTTCGAGGATGGGTGTTTATTCTATACGCTGGCGAAGTTTTACCGCGAAGAAAGCAATTTGAAGGGGATATTTTTCGATTTGAATTGTTCGTGTCGGCTGTTTGAGAACTGGAATCGTTAGCCTTTGCTTTCAATACTATCACCTATGAAGACAGTCGCAGGCATCGAATGTAAAGTCGCTCAGAAATCGATCACATACAATCAAAGTAGGCAAGTAAATATGATTTTAAAATATAAAATTCATTACAAATTTTACTGTGTAGTATATTCTATAATGATATATTTACTATACACTAATACACGTCTGGGCCGCCTGTGGCTCAGCAAGTTTCTCTCGTGTGCGGCACGTCAGCGGCTCTGCTGAAAACACTTACATGAAGTATTTCATTCAGATCCAAGATGGCTGTCGTTCGAAGGTTATTATTTAAAAATTTAAAGCATAGAACCTTATTGAAACAACCCAATAGAACTTGCTGCAAAAGGTAAGTTGTTTTATCGTTTTGTTGTTGGTCGTGAAACATTAAATATCTCCATTCAACAAATATCAGTGAAATATATATCATCATTTATATGCATATCATGATACACATTACGCATGGTTGCAACGAACAATAATAATAAAACTCTCACTTGGAAGGTTTTAAAGAAATCTTTGCTACCAGAAAACGTAAACAAAGCAAGGGTCTATAAATATTATATAATATTTGCATTCCCAATAGACCTTTCCGGTAATTACATCATCGCAACTTAGGACCACCTTAAATGGAATGGATTTTCAAGGTTTTTTCTCACAAGTCATGGTCAGAGAAGCAGGACATTTAAGGTGGTCCTAAGTTGAAAACAATGTAGTTGTGAAAGAAAGGTATATTTATTTAACTTAAAATCAGGGTGTTATCCAGAAAAAAAGGTTTTGTCCGTTAAACGTAAATTGGGCAAGTTTTTTTGACCGATCAAAGTCCTTGTGTAGGAATAAATAGTGTTTTTTTCCAACGTGTTTCTCCTTAGATGCAAACAACGGTAGCTTGCTTTTGTACATTTTATTTCCGGTGAATGAACACTGAAAAATTCACCTGATGGTACTTCGTTTTGTATATTTCATTTCCGGTGAATGAACATGGATGCACACCTATTACACTTTGTTTTGTACATTTCATTTCAGTGAATACACACCCAATATGAATGAAACGTGATACGTTTTGAGAAAATAGTTAATGGGAAAAAGTAAATAAAACGTTCTTTGATATAACAATTGATGTAAAATCAAACGCAATGCACTTTCTCATCAGAAAAAAATGAAAATCTTCCAGTAGACCGGGCAGTTGGGAAAGCTCCTTAGCTACTTCAATTGGGAAGAGTCGGTCAAACGGACAGTATATGGGCTAGCTAACACCCTGAAAATATCCATAGATATCTTATATACACTAGATAGTGCATCTAATTAATCTACAATTCAAAAATTGAAGCTGTGATTGCAGACTCAGGATATTCCCATGAAATGAGAAGATTTGTTTCTATTTCTTAAACAAAGAACTTAAATATTAAGGTAAACCTATTACATTTTTAAACTATTCAAATGACGAAAGTTATTGTTGTTTTTTAAGTATTTATTAGCGAGTGGGAAACACCAACATGGCTGCCATCTATTCAAATGGGGGTAACCGCTGGAATATTCTTGGCTTCAATTTTACTAAAAGAGATGCTCTATCTAGTCTATATAAGATATCTATGAAAATATCATGTTAAACTAGCTTATGTCATACTTATGTATCAATCAATTCCATGCAGCGGTGCCCCCCCCCCCCGGAATTAGCCATTTCTGGAAAGAAAATGGCTATGTCCCCACCCCAGGGAAAGAAGAAAACCCCACCCCTGGGCAAGCAAATTGGGTCTATATCCCCACCCCCGGGCAATACTATTGACTGTTTAGTACACTTTGATTTGCACGTTATAATTCTATGCCTATGGACAATATAAATGCAAAGTACAAAAAAAAGTTCCACAACAAGGATAAAAATGCTTTAATATTAATGTAACACTGTATAAATTCTCAATCCTAACTTCAGCGCATCTAGCTAGACCTATGATAATATTATTAATGTCAACCTTTGAAAATATTGTCTTTACTTAAAGGTCCGGACACACCAGACACGATTCGACAACGCAACATGATTTTTGATTTTCACTGACCGATAACTTTGATCCTAGTTTATACTTTCTAAATATTTAGAAGCGTTATAACATTTTGAGTTATTTGGTCTAAATAATATATGTCAGTGATTGCAACCAACATAACCAGAAACTCCCATCCTTCCATGGACCATTATGTCACCATAGAAAATGAACTACTTTTATAGTATTTACACCAGTTTAGGCTTTTTGGTATCATTTTAATGACAAGGCCGCTGACCAAAATGAAAAATATCAGAGGCTCAGAAGTATCGAAACAATCGATATTTCTTGCTAGTGTCGATACTTTAATAGAACTTATCAAAACCCTGGTATCGATAGTATCGAGTATTTGGTATCGTCATATCCCTAGCAATTTTGTAGGTGATTTTCTTCTAGTAACAGATGCAAATTAGTGAACTCGCAGAAATCGCTCGCTTTTTGGAGGTATATACACCCAACCATGCAATATCTTCAGGAAGAGAAAAATAGTTCTAAGCAGAGGTGGAAAATGTTTTTATTTTTCATGAACTATACATGTATGTATGTTGAAATTGTTGCAAAAAACTCAAACAGTCTGTAGGTATTGGCAATAAGTCAATAACACCAGAATAAAGCTGTGGAATCTGAAAGGATTCAACTACCTGAAAAATTTCAAGCGAAGGATTTGCTCAAAACATAGAAGTTTTACTTGTATTTTTCAGGTCATTGAACCCAGCGTTTATTTTAAGAAAAATTTAGAACTGCACATATTAGGGATGTTATACGAAGAATCACGTGTTTGACTTGGGGGACAAAGGATTTTTATCTATATTTAACGTTGTAAATTTATAGTTAACGTTGTAAATTATGATAGACTCTTAATTTGTATGATAGGTGGCAGAATAAAGGTGTGATTGGGTGGGGCCAGACAAACTCGATTCTGGGTGGGGGCTACAGGTAGGGGGTGCCCCCAAATTTTGAATTTAGAGGCTCGTAAGTTATGGCAAAGATTTGTTTCACCCAACCACCCACAAAAACTGTTTCAAAACATGTAACTGAATGTAACTGGGAATCATGAATACTCAATATACAGGGTGTATCAAAAAAAACTGAACAGATTTGAAATTGCTCTCAATTTCGCAAAACACCTATTTGTATGTGGTTTTTTATATATATAGCTTCTTTGGGTACTTATAATGTAAAATAATGAAAAAAATTTCTCGAACTAAAATTTTGTGAACCAGGGGGGGGTGTGTCTTTTCCAACAAATTAAAAATGGCTCGCGCACAAAATTTAAAAGCTGTAATCATATTTTGAGTTAATAGATTGAAAATTTGTCGGATTTTTAATTACTGTACAAAATTTCAGACAATTTGGTTTAGTTTCTAAAAAGTCAGCCTTTCGCATGCTTAATTAATGCCTTTACCTAATTTGCATATTGCTGACATATGCAAATTAGGCAAATGCGTTAATTAAGCATGCAAATAGCTGATTTTTAGGGAAAATTGTAACTTTGCGTGAATAGTTAAGGGGCTTAAACTAAACCAAATTGTCTGAAATTTTGTACAGTAATTAAAATCCCGACAAATTTTCCATCTGTTAACTCAAAATATGATTGCAGCTTTTAAATTTTGTGCGCGAGCCATTTTTAGTTTGTTGGAAAAGACACCCCCCCCCCCTGGTTCACAAAATTTGAGTGTGAGAAATTTTTCTCATTATTCTACATTATAAGTATCCAAAGAGGCCATATATATAAAAAACGGATACAAATAGCTGTTTTGCGAAATTGAGAGCAATTTTAAATCTGTTCAGTTTTCAGTTGATACACCCTGTATAACACAAATGAATCCAAGTGCGTGTGTCTAATTCTATTAGCGGTATATAGGTTCTTTGTACATTAAGAAAACATTTATGAAAAATGCCGCCATATCATTGGCAGCCCTCGTGTTAAAGTGAAGACAAATATAAGCATTTTCTGCAATGAGCCAAAGCTAGAGTCAAATTACAATGTTGTGCCTTATGTACTAGATAAAACATGAGCAGCCGATCTGTATCTGATCGAGCCGAAGGCGAGAGTTTGTATATCAGATACAGATCGCGGTATCGTTGCCCTAAATAAAGCTCCGAGCCATCCATCCTTCTCCTGAAATTTCCGACAGTATCTCATTTGCTGCTGTGTCTGAGCGGGAAATGCGAGCGATTTGATTGGCTAGTTACACTACGTGCAGAAAATCATGCAATCTGCCATATCCCATGCGTTTGAAGTATGCAGAGTCATTTGAGACGCAAACTGCAAGCTTTTTATGTGACTAAAGTCGTGTTTACACTACTATCCTTTGCCTGGCCTTGGCCAAGGTAAATGTGGCGCGTTTACACCATTATATACACTATTTTTTTTTGAGACTGGCTCACTTTGGCCTAGAATTTTATAATCAATTTTGTGTATTTTTATGTGTTGTGACGTTGTCCGCTGGTTTTCCGCTAATCTCTCACTGTGGGCACACGTTGCCATGAAAATAAGGCCCAGGCCAGGGCCGAAAGTGTTTACATTTCCACAAGCCTAGGCCAGGCCACCGGTTGTAGTGGGCCCAGATTTCCTGGCCTAGGTCAGGCCAAGGCTAGCCTGTATGGCAGACACGACTTATGTCTACAGCATTAAGTTATTTCATAATCATGCATTAAGTTATATTTGAAGATGGTTAATTAAGTGTTTCATACATCTTTTCATAAAGACGAAATTCAAGTGCTAATTGTACAGCTGCATGCATGTGCTGCGTAGTATCATGCAGACTTGGAAGTTAACCAATGGCAATGCTTGTACGGAAAAGTCTATTTAAAGTTTTTGACTCAAAGTTTTGTATTCTTTGTCTTTATGACCTTGTTGTTTATACGCCCGCGCAAAATTGACTGCGAGCGGTCCCTCCATAAAAAGGGGAAATTACTTTCCCCTTGACCTTGTCCTTGAATATTTCGTATAATGAACATTTTCGAGACACAAAATAATCGGACAGGAATGGTTTAAAACATTACATGCATGTTAAAAGAATTATAGGAATATAGCTATCTGTATATAGTGAAACCAGCGCCTTATATCTTTCGGTATATTACTAATTCGTGCTTGCTAAATAAATGGAATGACTGGAATGCAAGAGTGCATGTGCCACGTGTATTTTTACAAAAAGACGATTTTCGTACTAATGTCAATTTTCAATGGCGTACTGATAACTGTACACATACGCAGACAGAAATTATTATGCAAGACATCTACATTGGCAGTATAATATGCAGTTTTTGGGGCTGCACTACCCTAACATTGAGCCTGAAGTCTTCCGTATTGTCGTCCTTAAAGCATGTGACTAACTAAACTCCGCTTATATGCTTTTGCGACTAAACTCAGCTCCGCTAAGACTTAGCGTATGGGCTAGGTAAGAATCGCATATTATCTGCCTGCTGCAAATTTCAAGATAGACATAACTCTGATTTACCTTTTAGTATGAAAACATAAGTACGTGTCAGACTTACCAGATTAACAATATAGTTTCTGCCGGCAATGCCAATGGCAACGGATATATAAGTGCTTTTACCAAGGCTTGGCAAATCTAGAATAAAAACACATTTGTTCATGAAAGAGCCCAGCTTTCATTAAATACTTTTCCCACTTACAAAGTTCACACGTTCTTAATCAACTGCACCGCTTTGGTAGCTTTTCAGCAAATCGCTTCCAGTTCCGCATTCGGCATGGGCAATGAAGGCCGATGATGCGGTATAATAGCCCTGGCTCGTCCGTCCTCAGTCGCTGTAGTATAAATAGATCAAAGTAATATAACAATACCAAATATGGTATGGTTTAGGTTTTTTACTGTGGCATGTGGAAAATGCAAACATAAAGCGCATGCGCGAGTATGGAAATGGCGGGGCAAATACGGGAAAAGGAACGCATTTACTACAAGGAATGGTTGAAGCTATAAGTTTGGGCATTTCATCGCTTTTCCCTTTTGTCAAGACGAAGTTATCCTGAGTTTAAACACGCGTAATTTTCTTTAAACTTTTTGCTAGAGCTTGTGAAGACAATACTATTCCCAGTCTTCCGAGTGCACGCAGTAAATACGAGCGAACGTTTGACCGCGGTGTTGCATGCACATGCATATACATTTATTTTTCATGCAAAGGAGCCAAATTCTACTAAGCTTTTCCCCTTGTTGACGCCAGATATACACGCATAAAGTGAGTAGTTCCAAGCAGTAGGAAATTCAACTAAGAATGTTAGTAAGTGAAAATGAAACAGAACAGTTAATTCGACTAGTTTATATTTAGTTGCCTCGTAAAGGAAGGAACGGTTTCGGTAGTATTTCTGTATTCGGTAGAACAACTGAAACACGCTGAAACAAACTATTCGCTCTTCAACGCAATTTGACATTTCTACAATCTTACAGACCCAAAACCTGCTTTGTACCGAATCCCTGTTGTGTTGTTTAGTCGTCGAGCGGCCATCCTGAGCGATGTCGCAAGTGATTATCATAATTATGTTATTTGGCGGGAAAGTACAATCATTTTCCCGCCAAAAAGATGAATAATATAAATAAATAAATACTAAACCAGTGATGTATTGTGTTACTAAAAATCCCGTAGTTGCTGCAAGGTTTTCATTTCATTATTAATTTTGGATCAAAGCGGGAGGAAGGAATGTTTAGTGGTCCAACTAAACATTGTATGACAAAAAGGCTGCTTCCCTGTTTTGGCGCGAAAATATACTCCTAGGGAACGATGACATGGCGACACAAAGCGACGAAGCGAAGCGGCTTAATTAAACCTGTAATGTTTCCTTGACATTTGGCTCTAAAAACCCGTATGGAAAGTAATCTAAAAGACTAACGAATAAATTGCAAAAAATATATATCATGAAAGCAGTTGCCTTCCTTACATATATAAATTTACCGACGCCGACGGTATAAGGAAATCCTGAAATCAATGTAAAAATATTGTCAAATTCCTTATCAGTAATACGGCAATAATCGTTATAATTTTCAAACAGGCACTCAATAAGCGATAGAATTTATAAACACTCACTGTTTACTGTACAATTTTACACTTGCACGAAATTTTTGGCCGAGTAAACCTTTTTAATAGAGCGATATTTAACCTGACTACTTTCGTTTCTCGTTTTAAAACCTGAATGTGACGGCTTAAAAACTATTACTAGATAACCTTAACATCTTTCGCTCTACGTTCAACTAAGTATAAAACGCATATTGTCTGTCGGATGTGTTCGAGGTATAGTTACTTTTTCACAGCTTTAAGGCCCATGATGCATATTTGTTACCGAGATATTTTTACCCTTGAATCAACACGTGCAAGTGGTCTTACCCAAGTAATAATCGTTACATATTTCATATCTCACCGGCGAAGTCAAAGAAAAGAATACATTAGCACATATATATCAGACTTACCCTTTCTTCCGAATAAATTTCAACGTTTTATAGTGCTTTGCCAAGTCTTGAATGGATCTATATAATAATAATACATTCGAGATCTTCTGTGCGAATGAACCAACTCATTGAGCAGACCTGTTGTAGTGATGTTTTGTGCTTTTCCGGCGTTTTACAGTAATTTGCATCATATCATGCAGTTTGCATTGAATTTGCACTTGAATATCAACCAATAAGATCGCGTGTAGGGCAAGTTTGAACAAGTCCGTATGAATATTTTACACCGTTGATTGCATGATGCTTGAATAAATTAGTTCATTCTTTAAGTACACGTATATAGCATAAACAAAGGAGAGCGAATAGCCTAATAATCTTTTTTTTTTTATCAAAAGCTTTCTTTTTTAGTTATGAACCAACTGTAATTTTTGGCAAGCAATATTGTTCCTGAAAATTCTGCAATTCCTGTAATTCCTGTTACTGCAGTTCGTGGATTCCATCCAAAAACGCGTTGTTTTATGTCAGACTATCAGTGTTATTGTTTTACCATAATTTTGTATCAAAATCCTGCATTCATAAGACAGGAGTTCACTTGTGATAGTATAATCTGTAGTTTAATTACATTTTGATCTACAGTACATTATATATAGGTTTTTATTCTCAAAGACTTCACAGTATCTTGACCTATAACTGAACAAACCATATACATTTTGTCTAATGCGGTTTGAGATCTGTTTCTGACAGAAAGTGTCTTGCATATATTGTTACGAAAAATGTTTTACCCATAGCCAGGGAAAGCGTGACAATTAAACTTTTGTAAATTCTTCATCCACTTTTATCCAGATTCAACTAAAATTTAAACGACTTATCCATCGCCTACGATCATTAAACTGTTCGGTATATACGTTTGGAGTTTCCTGCATGCTGACTTTCAGACATCAAGCAAACACACAGACAGAGACAACAGGCAAACACACAGACAGAGACAACAGGCAAACACACAGACAGAGACATGCATGTGGTTCAAACTGAAAGTGCTTCGTCATCGATTCCGCCAGGAAGTCTTTTCTTTCGCTTAGTCTTAGATAAGTTATTCCAGAAGATTCTTAAATGGAGAGGGGATCCCATGATTGTTTGTGCATTATATATACTTTCAATAATGTATTTCTTTATAATTCGTTCATTATATAGTAATATATACGTTTATTACGTTGATTCAATTATAATTATTGATGTGATCGTTTATTCATCCTTTATTGATGTTGCCATATACTCATATAGTCCGCTTTGTCATGACTTATCGGGGAATTTTGGATCTGATCGTTTTACAGTAAAGCCGAGCGCACCACGCAACTAGTTTAGACTGTTCATTTAGCCTGAAATTATTAAACTTGTGATCATTAGATATAACTGCATGAACAGTTTGGTATATGTTGACCAGTTTTGAAGTACGGAGCAAACGAAGATCACATTCATAAAAGTCTTCTTGACTAACTGACCTGTTAATAATTTTGATTTTCACTTTCAGCTACGCTTGACATGGCGCATTTTTCACTTGTTTTTGTGTACTGCCGAGGAAAGCGTGGAAATGAAAAATCGGCTAAACATCAGGCTATCATATTCATTTATATATAGTTATATTGTCTTTATAATGATTCGTGGTGATTCATAAAGATAATGCCATAAATGCATGGAGCACTGAAATAAGGGATTTATTCTAAACTCAAAAATCAAAGGTTCATTATTCGCTTGCGTACTAGAAACATTCGCAAGTTATGTTTTCTGCGGCTTCTGTCCTTTTATCCTTCAAAGCCATCCTCCATTCAAAACTGCAATACATTTGTTTGCGCCATAAGCACTTTAGGATGTAGCGGGCGGCATCTATATTAGAGGTCCTTAATTGGCCCTTGTTTCACTCCAGCGACGTTTTCAATTAGACATGGAATCAATGAATATCGAACGCATTTCCCCCCCTTCTCTACATAACTTCGCTCTGTGTCACCATGCATTGCGTTGCAAGTTGCAGCAAAAAAATTGAACGTGCGGAAATGAAGCTGAGAAATCAAGCTAGAGGACGTAGCTAGTCAATTTGCTAGATTGAGAAAGCAACGAAACCTTCGTTGAATGCTTGAATCAAATCCTTATATGTATGTGTTGGTTTTTTTTTCTTAATATATTGAAGATAAAATAAGACTTTAAGTGGCATGTCCGTAGTCAGTGTCACTGCAATATGTTTTTCTCTTTCTTACCATTACCCCCAGGAAGTGAATATAATTTCGCAGCCGATTCAGTAACCCGTTTTATTCATATCAAGTTTTCGATAGACAACACACGTTCTTCGCCTGGTACAGGCCGCGCATGCAGGTATATATAAATAGTAAAATAGACTTACCCTTATTATAGTAATATAGAATATTTTTTTCCAATTCTTTGCTGACGACCTATATTTGCAACAAACACCTTTTAATTAGAAAAGCCTGAAGGTTGCCAATCTGTTGTTGCGTAGAATGAATCCGGCGACTCGAATTTCATGCACTATTTCATCTTTAATGTGTGAACAAAAGCTTGAATGACGCACAATATTATTCAATATATATCACGTGATACTTTTAATTATTTTGTTTTGACAAGGCATGTATGGTATGGGCTTATTACATACCACACATGCCTTGTCAAAACAAAAATAATTAAAAGTATCACGTGATATATGTAGCCTACACACTGCAGCACAGAGGTCAGTCAAGGTGGTTTGGTTCGACCGTGTCGAACAAAAGATAAAATAAACACTGTCGTTATGAGACAATTAGCAGCGATGCTTTGTGGGTTTTCCTGCATGCTGACATTACAGTTCATATAATATGATATAGTCATCAAGCACATAGTCATAGCCAATTAAAGGCCATAACAATACTGTCACATGATACACAAGTGGATATTTAATTATTTTCCGCAAATTTTTCAATATCAGCAAGACAGCAACAATACACAAATTTAATTTTCGCGTAAACAAGTTTATTTTCAGATCATTCTCGAACGGAAGTCTTTATTTAATTTGCGCGTAAACACATTTTTCCAGATTATTCGTTATGGCTTGTAACTATATATAACGTATATTCAAATTTGCAATGTTCTTTGTTGTCCAGTTCCTATTCGACAATAGGGCGACGAAAATAATCAGACTTTTAGTCTGCCGGGCTGGGAAAATATTTTGTCTGATGGTATTTTTAGGTTAGAAGCTGGTAACTGCAATTTATGAATTCGAATATGCTCAGTTTTGAAGGATGACTTGCAACATGCTTGTAACATTTCTGTAAAAAACTAGCCATTGTATCTTGACATTTGATATCCAATTTTGAAATTTGGTATGACCATGCATGCAGGCGGATAACAGGATTCTGTAAATCTGAAACCCTGTTCGAATCGCTATCACCATCAGATTAACAGCAGAAAGAATAAAGTCAGGCTAGTCAGGTTTTAGTAAACAATGATATTTTACAGTTGCTCAATGTAAAAAAAAGAGTTATAGTAATAAAAAAGTACTATAAAATGTTATGAAAATATAAAATCCAGTACAGTTCACATGAATTCTCGTCAAGCTGTAAATCATTTTCATGCAACAATACAGTTACATTACTCACACATAACACAAAACTGTAGAAAAATAGAATTAAAATACCCTAATAGCGTATATTCTCATGAAGGAAATTTGCTTATATATAGATGTTTTCACCACTCTAATTTAACCCTCGAATTCGTCGACGTTTGCACTGGACAATTGCACCATCTTGATTTCATACTATATCAAAACACACTAGTCACTATAAGCATAGTCATAAGACAAAGAATATGTTCCTCATTCCTGGTCGTATATCGATAATACCACAAGCCGTTTTAAAACAAACCAGGAAATAGTTAACTATATACTTCACTGTAACAGTTAAAGTAAACTTTAGAATCAATCAAGATGGCGCCGAATGATACGTTGAATGTCATGTACAAACGAAGAATTGGCGGCTTTCTACTTTACAAAATACTTTGCTGGCTGCTAGTTTCAGCAAATATAGAATTAAAGCTATTTCCGAAGAAAGTGACTGTGTGGCAGTGCGTATATAGTTATAATACACAATTTATTAGATCTGTATATTTTTAATCTGTATGATCCCATCTTCAGCAGTATGACGCCTCTAGAAGTTATGACGTTACGTTTGGAAACATACAGTTTCGATAAATTATGTATTATAATTAATATGCACACTCTTTTCGCGGAATATCTTTAACTTTGTTACAACTATAGTACAAATTTTCTACTGCGTAGTAAAGATTTCAAACGTGATCATCTTTCGTAACACGAAAGTGTCATGTTGTTCTTAGAAAGTAGGAATACCTGTGGTGTCCACTGTTACCTTCACAAACATGACGTCTTCCTTGACTTGCTCACCGTTATTAAGCACAGCTCTTGGCACAAACAGAGGACATCCTGAAGCGACATTCGGTTGCAGGCTCGGTTGAAAGCTATCGATGATATGCTGACCTTGACTTTGATCGATCAACTTGAATGTAACTTTTTGTTGAAACGGCCATGGAAGGAGGGCGTCGTGCTCGCCATGCATTACAACAATCAACAGAGATAAATGCGTTCCATTGCCCAAACCATAACCATTCAGGTACGCGCGGGCACAAACTTTGTAACCAGGACGACCAACATAGAACGGTGGGCTATCAATGTACACACGCTTACCCATCGTAGCTTCGTTAAGCCGTCGGCCATAGTCGTCAATCTTCCAAAGGAATACACCATCATACGAAGTTGTTTCCAACATGAATGCATTCTGTTGCTCCATTGTAGCCACTCTTCTCTCGAGGTCAACGACTGCTTCATTAGCTTCACGTCTCTGCCTTTCTCGAAGGTGGAGATTTTGAACTTGTTCTTCCAACTTGCGTAACCGCCCTTTCACATCTTCCAGCGATTCAGCCTCTTGTGGCCCCCCTGATGATGGCGACTGTGTTCTCTCTTCTACTTTGTGGCACGTATAGCGATCCACCGCCTCACTCAAGGTAGCAAGATCATTGCGAACAGTAGCCAATTCTTCATACCGGTTGGCAAATTGATCCTCCAAATCTTGTTGCTGTTGTTGTTGTGCGCCTTGTATCATCTCGATAGCGGACTGCATCGCCTCCATTTTATGTTGAACCATAGATGTGTGTTCGACATTTCTTTCAGCCAAATGTGTTCGGAGATCAGCTCTTGAACCCTTATGAAAGAAATACGTAATATTATTTCGTCATACATTTGACGGAGAGAAAAAAGTCTGACTTTGCCCCTTCATGAGTGAACTATAACCCATTAAACAGCAATGCTTCTAATGTGCGCTGTTGTATTATTTACTCAATATAACGGCAGATTAGTTCACTTTTCAAGGCTAGATTAATGACATTAATACTGTTAAGTGTGGGGAAGGGGGAGGAGATTCACACTCCTATGCTAAGGGACGGGTGATTATTTTTGGTGGCGTCCATCCACTACACAGCCGTGATTTAGATTAAAAAATCCATAAAACACGAAAAATTCATTATGCAGTGGTTGCCGCCCTCCCCGTTACAAGAAGTTGCTTATTTCCATGGGCTTGGGGGTTAAGATTCCTGAACCCTCGCGCATACTCAGCTTACCGATTGGCATGCACGCGTGAAAAGTGAGAAGATCCCTCCCGATACGATGGAGATTTTCTACATTTGCTTACTGTAATACTCATGAAGAGGTAGGGAATGTAGACTTGATTATCTGGCCTTTAAACTGCGGTAGAACAACCAGTTCGTGGTGAATGTGTGGTAAAAAACACAACATATGAGTGAGATCGCATTCTACCTGAAAATCACACTGGTCGGCCATTGGACAGTTTGCGTCGGCATATGGACAATCATTGGCAAAGTGATTTTCCATTTCAAAACGAAGCAGAATCTCTTGGCATCCCTTCGGACAGGCCAACGACAGTTTAAGACATTTGGTTTTATGGTCCTATTGCGAAAAAATGCGAAAGTGTTAATATATTATAGGACGAAAATAAGTAGTATAATTATATATGCATGTCACATATCGTTCACGAGGAAGGAGTTTGTTTTAGTGCTTTGAACTGAAGAAAATAAGTCGAGTTTTATTATAATGGCATTGTAAAGCGGTATTTTATATCATGACTTCAAGACTCAAGTGTGCGATGTAATTTCACAATTAACAAACATGCAAACAAGAACAAACTTTTCACGCCCAGGAAATAAATAATATACATATGCATTTATATAACGTGTCGGAGACAAGACAAAATGCAGTCAAAAATAAATACCTGTACAAAAACTACGTACACACCTTACGAAATTCCAAAGGACCTTTCCAATCACACCCTCGATCTTTGTTCGAACAAAGGATTTCTAGTTCCTTGATTTCACGGTCACAGAAATTATCTGCGAAAATGTTTTCCATGGAAAGAGCGGTGTTATCCTCAGGACACATTTTAGAACCACTATAAACATAAAAAAAATTATATATGAGAAAATAAGATCAGCATCAGCAATGGCCATGCAGTATAGTCAATACATAAAAGTGAATGAGTCATTATACATACAAGACAATATGTACTACATGAGTCATTATGTCCAAACCAGTGGTTCATACATGCAAAATGCAAGACAATATATATATATATATATAAAAGTGCGGAATTGGTGCATACGTGCTACGTGCATACGCCTTATCTTGTAAATATTTGCTGAAAATGAATCAAAATTGGCTGAAATATACAGGGTTTTTAAAATATATTAATTGTATATTCATGCACATGCACTTTGTTTGGAATAACACTAGTTTTATATCGTGCGTGCATGCGTGCGTGCATGCAAGACCATGCATCATATAACATGCTGCCCTTTCTTCTCCCGCACGCACTAAACGCCTGCTACGCAGGCTAATAACATGCATGCTTTTAAATTAAGCCCGGGCCATTTTACACCACACAACGTTTGCCTAAAACTGTCGTATGCAACCTGCTTATACAACATGAGTTGAACCGTCCAAATTAAGCACACGACGCGCTTACGTTGTCGTATACAGGGTGTATCAAAATAAACGCAATTCATCTTTTGTGCTTAATAACTTTCGAAATACTATTTCTAGTTAAACGCTTTTAGGCTTACTTCAAAGCCTGTTCTTTTCTCTTTCAAACAAACTATTATCCTTGTCTCCAATG